GGCTTTCATCTGATAAATATATATTATATATATATATAACTAAAAACTAGTTTGTGTTATGAACGGAAGCAGTCAGTTTTACTATTGGAGAAATAACAGACACGTTCCAGAAGATATCTGAAGTATAGAATTATGTCTTCGAGTCCGTGTTCATTTCCGACACCTATTATGAATATTCTATTGCTACTTTCCAGATCTCCCATGACAAGGTTAGAGCATAGCAGAGACTATTGTAACTAATTTTAGAACTTTGAGCATATTCTGTTGTGACGACATGTGCTTGGTTTTCTCTTTCCCCTCCCCCACGTTTTTGTGAATATGAATGGAGATTTTACGAACAAAAAAGGAATTAGTCATTATAAGAAGATTTAACTTCAGCTATTCTTCTGCAGTTGAGTCACGAATCAATACTGAAGTTATGCGTCTTGAGATGCCGTTAATAAACCAGTTCACTTTTCCATGTATGGCCACTACGGCCACTTTATTGAACGCCCAGTAGGAAAGGACCCTTTTTTTTACAATTGTGGTGACTGGTCATATGATGATCACGTGCCGTTTATCCCTTCCGGTTTTTACCTGAAATGACTGACACGTAAAATCTAAAATCTCAATGTTGAAAAAATAAAATAAAAAAAAATAAATGGTTGCTGATCCTTTACAGGACATTGCAGAACCAACCAGCGTTTTTTTTTTTTTTTTTTTCTATCTCTTCGCCAAATTTACGTCCAGTAAGTTCGTCGTTGCTTTCTTGCGCAGTCGGCTTCTCAAAACTGGAAACAAGTGCATGGAGCAAGACCTGCAGCTGGGATCGAGACCCAGGCATCCCGGCATTACGAAGCTCGTTCGCAATGTCTAAACCACAGACGGCGACAAGTCTGGATGACAGACTAACAATACTTCGAGGTTCAACTGCATATGACTTAACAGGTCTCAGGGAAGATTGTAGACCAGAGCAAGTCCCGATCAACCTGAATGGAAGAATAACGGTAACGGCCTGCTGTAAACCATCGTCTTGTGGAAAAGGTGGAAATCCGTTTGATTTAAGTCATTTTAATTAGACGAATCATCACCCAGTAAGTCATGTCACGCCGATCGCCTTTGCTTTCTGTGACACTACCTGGTAACCCATAAGCTGCCTCGACCAGGTAAAAATTATCTACAGGAAGATTTCATTAAACCATCGACCTTCAAGCAGGCAAGCGAGCACTTAAACTCTGTTCACTAGGCTTTTAGTTTCTAGAGAGAGATAGTATTAGCGAAGAGGGCGTTTTAAACCTTCTCGGACAAACGCGTCAATTATATAGTTCAAGCACACACCTGAAATCTAACATTGGATACTTGTTTAGAAAGTGGTGCATAAGCAAAATGTCTTGAATACAAACACGGGAAAACGGTCATTACAATGTAGAGGCTAAACAGGCATGTAAATCGTAATTGGCAGAACATGGGGAAAAATATTTGCACCAATCCGCTGACGAACCTGCGTCCATGATGTAATAGAAGTACTTCGAGACTGGTGCGGTACATACAGATGCCTAAAACACCTTAGTGAAATAGGAACGATTGACATTGTACGAATACGAATTTGATCTGCATCCTAGAGATTTAAAAAAAAAAAAAAAAACAGACCAGTCAACCAGAATGTGTACCAGACATGAATAAACCAATCGAAACCAATTTTGAACACAGGCGACATTAAATATTTGGACTGCTCTAGTTTTTAAGAATTACTTGAGAGAATACCGCTCTGTATAATAGATTATCTCGGATAAAATTGTGTAATTAAAGCAGAATTGCCCAATCTAGAGTACCTTTTTATTTAGAAAACATGTGAATGAACAGCACTGTGTATACAAGTGACGTTTCTATCACAACAACCTCTATCACAACAACCACCATCCCACCCCCCCCCCCCCCCCCCAAAAAAAAAATCCCAATAATTAGGGTGTACAGTGCTTGGCTGCAGAATAGTAGATTAAGTTTTTAATTGTATAAAATGGGAACAAATTTTACATATTACTCGGTTGAACAAGTTTACCATTATGCCTCATGTTGCTTGAATGCGTCACTATCCTCTTAGTGTTCACACCCAAACCCCCTCCCCCCCCCCCCCCCCGAAAATCATTTGTGGTGTTACTTTTCTGGACAGGAAATGATTATCAGCGTCATCCTGAGGAACACGGGGGGTGGGGGAGGGGGGGGGTGTGAGAGAGACTATCCAGTGGGATGATAGCCTGGGAGATTATATCGGCCCTGGGAGATTATATCGGCCGATAAAAGCCTGGGAGATTATATCGGCCGATAAAAGCCTGGGAGATTATATCGGCCGATAAAAGCCTGGGAGATTATATCGGCCGATAAAAGCCTGGGAGATTATATCGGCCGATAAAAGCCTGGGAGATTATATCGGCCGATAAAATCTATCTTCTCTCCCCCCCCCCCCCCAAATAGGATACCTGCTGTATGTGTATCATACAAGCTCTAAAATTTACTATGTCTGCACACATGTCCAATTGTGTCTTCAGCTTACGACGACCAATATGTCTTCAGTCTGCAATCCTTAACCCTATCCAGGAGGCGGTCCTTGTCCCCAGCTACCGAGATATGACATGCAGAACTTAAGAACCTATTGCAAAAAGTAGACAGTGCAAGTATGTATCGCATACAGACTAGTGTGGGGGGGGGGGGAAATAAGGGGTGTATCTTGTAAAATCCCAGAATAACCCGCATGGCTTCATTCCCTATGATTTAGTTTAGCTGACTTTCATACCAATCAATCATAACTAAGACTGGAGTGACAGTGAAAAAGTAATAAAATAAAAAAAAGGTTGCGTAAGATGAGTAAGATTTAGAGTCAAATCTAATACAAGTGCTAGAGCTGCAAAACATTTTAAAAAAAAGTTTAAAATAATTTTATATTTTGTTTATTGTTTACGAAGACAACAAAACGCCAACTTTTCATTGAACATGTTCAGTGTGCCCACAATCCATCGGCAGCGTTTTGTTCGGGTCATCAACTTAGGAATCATCTGTCTAGCCACGAGCTGGGGGTCGTGGACGCACCATCTGGGTCACATTGGTCGTGTGCTCGGCGTTAGTCGTAACTGCAGACAAAAAGACAAGTGTGTTATGAGGAACATAAACTATTGTAATCTACCTACTACACGCTTTTTCAACCTCAGCGTAGTGTAAAAGCCTCAAAGTCCATGTTTAAGACCAATAAGGAGATCAACGATAGATTTCTGAGACCGTGCATCTTCCCTGTAGCAACATACAGGATTTATGTCGTGGACTATCTAGTGCTTGAGGGGGGGGGGGAGAGAAGGGGAAAGTGGGGGGGGGGGGGGAATTGAGCCAAATGCTATAGAAAGATTCAGAATATCTTGCCCAATAAAAGAAATACTGACATCTTGACTGACATCTTGAAAGATCTGAATAAGGATTGCCTAATGAACAGCATCCACACTCTGAAGCTAAAATATTTTACACATCAAACGCCACGGATTGGGGAAAAATAGAAGGCACGGTACCAGGAAGGAACGAGCTTATTTGCAAAAAGCATGTTATATTCATGGGCGGTAAAATGCATGCACGCACACACAAAGCTACCCACTCACTTCTGCGGGACAGGGACCCACCAAAACAAAGGACACAAGATACAAGTGACTCCTTGAGTAAGAAAGTACATGAGACAGGAAGGGTAAGCTGGCGAAAGACGGTTTCAGGAAGACCGTGATGAGAGCAACGCCCTGCAAAGGACCTGCTGTATGATACTGTGTGGACATTAGCTCAAATTTTAACATCGGTGTTCCGTGATCGATCAGTATAAAATTAGCAGGAAGTAAATTGCTAAGTGCTGGCCTGATGACATCGATAGCTGAAATACGTAAAAATCGGCCGTAAATATCGGCCGTAAATATCGGCCGTAAATATCGGCCGTAAATATCGGCCGTAAATATCGGCCGTAAATATCGGCCTCACACTATGAGTGACCTTAGCCATCAAGTAAGGGGTCATATTTGCTGTTCTATTTCGCCGAAGGGGGGTGGGGGGGGGGGTTAATAACCCCCCCCCCCCCGCCCAACCATTATATGCACAAACCAAAGGAGGGAGGTAGAGAAATAGGTAGACTAAGAAAAGATTGGAAGAGACAAAGTGAAACTCAATTCTACAACACCACGATGTGTCTAGATCGAAGCAACCATCACCAACCTGCTGTTGCAACATTATAGAAAGTCACTCAGTGCTTTGTATTCCGTCTCAATGTATGTTTCGATTCAACTTTTACGCTTCTCGAATCTAATCCCAATGTTTATTTTAACCTGTTTTGCTCCATGGGTTTTCGAACCTTAATATGTAGGTCGTTTAAGTAATATCTTCACCATCATCAAGGTCTGCTTGATGCATCTCAACCAAGTCTCGTTCCCTTTCCTACCCAAAGGTGACATGTACCCATATTTGGGCTAGTGGGCCTCTGTCCCTCGTTCATTGTAACATGCCTTCTATTCTTTCCAGCCTAACCTGGCGCTGAATTTGGCGACAATATTTGAGTCAGGAGGGTTGTAATTCTTTGCGTTGTTCATGTCTACAGACTTTACCTGGTGCCTTGTGTTCTGAGAATGTATAGCATCTCTGCTCAAGTCTTGACATAATTGTTAATACTATAGACCAATATATGGTTTGGCAAGTAGAGCTAGTGATCCATGCTTAGTAAAATTAGCTGCATATCCTTGGTTTCAGAATGCCAGCATTTATTGGGCTGTTGAGGCAAATTTTTAATTTGCCTCTGATCTGTCAATCTCTGTATCGCTGTCGAAACCAACGCAAAACAAGTCCGTAGCTGGAATCTGACAGTACCCTGCATTACGAGGCGCATTCACAATGACTAATCCACAGACGCCGACATGCTTAGTACCGACAGAAAGAAGCTAGCAGCATATGTCCAAAGACCCACATCATAAAAAATATTGCTGGCTCAAATAGCATTAAGTTTCCCTTACCTCGTCTCCCGGTTCCAGTCGGTTCAGAACTGTTTCTCTTAGTTCCGTTTCCAGTTAACACGGTTATTAAACCAATTGATAACCCACATGCAGCGACCGTGAGGACAACCACACAGACTTTCCGCCAGTTTTTCCAGATTTTTCTCCAGTCCATTTTAAAATCTGCATGTACAAAAAGACAACGTTAGTTTAAAAGACAATACATAGGTTAAAGAGAATACAGCTCGGGAAACAAGGTATTAGGGCGATGCTTGCATGCATGCCGTTCTACCACTAGGATACTACCAAGTTTGACACTGATGACAGTCCAGTCTGGATGGCAGGCAGCCCAACAGTCCATATCACATATAAGAGGTTAAAGCTCATAAGAAGCTATAATTTAGGCCCCCGTAACGATGCAACAGGCTTATATAAGCTGCACTACAAGGCGGTAAATACGTATATTGGGCTCTCCTCCGAACCTCTACCCCCGCATTATGGCGGCCTGAAATATCCTTACGGGGCTCGGGCATTTGTAAAATGACCGTCTGCCAAGAAACACCAAGCGGCAAACCTAGGATTACTTGACAATATCAAGGGACGCAACATTGCAGACGATAGTAGCTGACGATAATAGTGACCGTTGACAATTTCGAGCGTTTCTGCAGACGATAGTTGCTGACAATATCATGCGCAAAACGCGATTAAACTCGCTGCCGAGCGCGGCGCGGATGGGGAGCTAAACTAGCTGCCTGGGACTCACGAGCAAATTAATCGAGCAAATTAATTGGAGGAAGTTGGAGATGCGGTAGCTGCTGCTTTGAGTCCCAGCCATCGGCGGTGAGGCAATCACAGAAACAGTCCGCAAGTAAAATATCGTTGAGCCCTGTTAGAGCATTTGTTTCGACATATTTTGAATAGAATTGAGCCACGTAAGGATATTTTATGGCCCCCATAATGCCGCGGTAGAAGTTTGGAGGAGAGCAGGTATATTGATATCGCAAGTTGCCGTGGGAAGGGGACACTCGTCTGCGGTTTGGGAGGTCTTGGATCATGGTCCTGGCAGAACCGGGCTTTCTTCGAAAATAGAGTTTGGCTCTTTGAGTTTGGCTCTCAGGTAGACCCAGCCTTGAATGGGCATCAGGTGCTGTCCTGGGAAGTAAAGGCGGCCGATGTGATGACATATCGAACAAGTGCCGATTGGTCATATTTGTAGCCCTGTATGCCCAATACAAAAAATGTCATTTTGATAGACGAATAGAATAGGATTTAAAAAAAAAAAAAAAATGTGATCATCTTAGAACTTAGAATAATTATTCATATATTACATAGAATACCTTTATAACTTGACTGGATCTTGACAGTTATCAAAGCAGCACAAATTACTCAGATTTGATTTAGAGTTTTTTTTTTTTTTTTGGCAAAGCTGCAATGAAAAGTGCCGATGCTTACAAGAGAGGCACATCCTACGATACTTTACGGCCTCACAATATGAAGAAAAACTGGACCTTGCGACAGATTCTGGACAGCCAATTGTCACTGCATATGTTTGACAATTTCTGCTAAATGATCCAATTTCGCGAGTTTTGCATTGTCTATGTCGCGCGGTTTTGGTTGGTAGTCACGTCTGTCCACAAACTATTTCGTTTAATTTTAGCTATGACGATCTATGCCATGAGGTCTTTCTCAGGCATCTTTTCCTCAAGTCTCTCTGCCTCTTTTGCCTAAGCTGGTTGCCTAAGTTTTCACATGGCATGATATAAATTGCATCCCCATGATGTGAAGAATACGTTCTAGCCGCGAGCCTGTTTCATCTGCAATAGGTCCTCTACATGATGATAGCGATGATGAAAGACAAGAGGAAGACAAAGCGAACAGCGGGGAATCAAGAATTTAGAGAAAAAAAATTACATTCAAGAAATAACTTACGAAAAGTGAACAAAGTGCAGATGGTTGAAAGATAGATGACACAGACTTACAAAGTTAAGCTTACCTCAAATGGTGCTTTGAGCAACTCCTAAGTTACGTTACGAAGTTGGACTTCTGTAACAACCAATAACAAGCTGTGTGAGACACGGCTGTTATATAGACTTTACTAGACCTGGAAATCACTGGCTGGACAGTGCAATCACGACTAAGGCGTGCAATCATGTCTAAAGCGTGCAATAACGTCTAAAGCGTGCAATGACTTCCAAAGCGAGCAATGACTCCCAAAGGGTTCAATGACTCCCAAAGCGAGCAATCTTTTTTAAAGCGTGCTATCGCGTGAAACCGTGCAATTCCATCTAACGCATGTAATCACTTCTAGAGCGTGCATTCACTTCTAAAGCGTTCAATAATTCCCATATCGTGCAATTTATTCACGCAATATGTTAACTGTATCTTATTCTGCGATTGTTTGTTATTACGTGACGACTGTGCTGGTACTCACATTTCAATATTTTCTTTTATAAACCAATAGGTACTTCTTGAGTGATCTGGTCAGTATCACGGCGACCACCTTTAATTCTCAGGACTTTTCCTGGTACTCACTCAAGGATAGGTCCACCTGGTGGTCAAAGTAATTAAAAAAATATTAGCTCATTTAAGACCCGACCCAATACCTTCCGATGAGCCTGTGAGTGTCTAGCTGCTACATCACGGCGACTGTCTCTCAACAAAATTGGTCATAACACCCACTGAATATCCAACACGGTAGTAAACCATTATTGTCATCCTCATCATCAGTTTCAACATCCTTTGTTAAGCGTCTTGGAAAGGAACAGTTTGCGATCCACTGCTTGATAGGCACCAATGGCTATTACCATTCCGTGCCAATGTTGAAGCCTTTTCATCTTCTTCTTCTTCTTCTTCACTTCCTCTTTTACCGCTGTGGGTGTCGAGGGAGATATAAGGTTCTGTTTCTAGCTCTTCTGGCTGCCTCGACCATAGGCACATCGTGCTGTTGTAGAGTTTCTCTGATGTTATCCTTCCATCTTGTTCTTGGTCTACCCCGTGCTCTACGTCCTTCTTCTCTTCCCATGTATGCTTTGTATGGTATGGTGTCACAAGGCATTCTCTCTAAGTGAGCAAACCATTTCACCTGCTGTCTTTGTATGTAATCCAGAATTGGTTATTGCGGACTTGTTCTCTTATGATCTCATTTCTGATCTTATCTCTTATGGTCACTCCTACAGCCCTTCTCAGACATCTCATTTCCGTGGTCTGCCTTTTCATCAATACATCTTATGTTCACGCTTTCATATCAGATATGTTCATGTGTAGCGCCAGCGCTGGTAGCTATCATATATGCATTCTTACTAGATGACCAAACCATTTGATCTTGTGTTTCTCAATTGATTGCCTGCAAGGTGTTGTTCCTAGAGGCTGGCTTGTAGAATCATTTGGAACTTTGTCTGGGATAGTCTGGGATGACGACTTTTATCGAGCATTCCATTTCACAAATGGTAAATGTACGTAAGTTAGCCTTTGAAAATGTCCAAGTCTGGCACTGGTTGTACAGTATTAGGAGGAATACCCTGTTTATTTAAAACAAAAAGCCACGGTGACTCCTGATGTCCTAAAAAATACAATTAAATACAAGCTGTGTGTGTGTGCCTGTGTGTGTGCGTGCGTGTTAGTGTGTGTGAGAGTGTGTGTGTGTGTGAGAGAGAGAGAGAGAGAGAGAGAGAGAGAGAGAGAGAGAGAGAGAGAGAGAGAGACTGCGTGTGTTTTTCAAGAATGTTAATTTCGGAGTAATTTGATTACAACAAAATAATGTCGACCACACACCCCCCCCCCCCCCTTTTTTCCCCCAGTTTTAGTTCACTGGCATTAGAGTTTCCATAATTTACGGACATACAATATAACATGAGCAGCATTTTATGTCATGTGTGGGATTTTTTTTATTTTCGCGAAATTAATTAATTTAAAATGAAGTGTTTTGTTTGATAGTGACCAGCGTCTGTTTTGATCACCCTGTCCGTTATGTCTAGTCTGAAAGTATTGGGTTCTGGTCCTGCCGAAATAGGATTATTTTTATTTTTTTTTTATGTAGATTGTCTGCTTGTGATGTGTGTATTGATTCGTCTGCAAAAGTACTTTTTTTTTTTCAAGACCTTTGTTTCAGAAGATACGTCAACAGTATTTTTTTTAAATAGCGTCGGTCAGCAAGCCATATGCCATAGGTCGCGTAGGTGGGACATTTGATTTAACCTGCCACGGGCTAAGCATGCTGACATAGAATTTTACAGCTTGAAGAAATACAAGGAGACATAACTAGGCTGACAAACATCATCATCATGAGGTGCCTTGCCGACTGGCGTTGGCGATCATAGCTCTCTACAATCCGCGATCTCCTGCAGCATGTATCAGTTCGTGTTCTGACACACCTTCATGCCATGCAAAAAGACTGAAGAGTCTTCTCTCGTTGTCTACCTCTATCCCTCCTTTTAAATACATAGAGGAATCTTATACGGGAAAGCCCATGGGCGGGTGTTCTCCTGTAGTTTACACTCCCACCCTGTCCATTGCAGACAACAAGAGAATCAAGATCAGATAAACGGCTGCCTATGGTTATCTACAATTCATGTGGTTTTCTCCCCTTGATGGTTCCTGAACCCAATTTTTGAGTTACGATGCACATGTTTTGATAAAATAAAATTAAAAAACAAATCGTCACGTTTAACCAGAATGCCCGAAGGTGAAGCTTTAGATTATAATTCTGACTAGGTTATGTGCGGCATATTAAATGGTTTGGCCCTGAAATTGACTTTTCCAGTGTTCATGCGATCACAGGAGACGGACCCAAATGTTATCCCGACATCCGACGAAGTCGTCTACCAGTGAGCCAATGGATGACCCGGCTACTGATGTACTGGTTAATACCCACTTCCCAAAAATAACGTTGCAGTGTGCGACAAATTACTGATGTTTCCTTCAAAATCGGAGTGCATATGCCTGAGAAAGGAGCCAAGACTGCTGACGTCAACAAACCGGGCTACGATACGTTAAGGCAGCATTCCTCAAACTTTTCTACATCTGGCAAAATACATTTCGCGGCACACATACCCTTTAATATGTTTGAATACTTAGAGAAAAAAAATGCAAATTTAATGTTAAGCTGTTTTAAAATATTCTTAATTTTTGCTGCGGCACTCCTGACATACATTCGCGGCGCCCCTAGGCTTCGTAATGCCGTGGTG